GCCTCCCGGTCAACTACCCCCTCCTCCGACTCTCGCGCTCCCTGGCCGCTATGCGTCTTCAGCAGCCGCAAGCAACAGCCGTAGCGACCCCAGCCTCGACGAGCGGACCCGCAGACGGCCAGCAGGATGCAGGGGAGTGCGCCGCTCACGTCTCTCGCATGATCTACAGATGCATGACCTGCAAAGTGTGGGCTTGTCAGGACTGCCTGGTAATGGACCACATGCTGCCGCCTCAGGGGCACTGCGAGATCCTCCCTGTTGATCAAGCGCTCGAAGAGATGAAGAAAGGCCACCTGGAGATCATTTCAACAACTTACCAGACGCTCCAGGGCCTCAAAAATTACATGGCGAGCCAAATTTCCATCTTGGATTCTAATAAGCGCTTACATGACGAGACAATTAACAGCTTAAGAAACATTACTCAAGGAGAGCTTAACATAGTGCAAGACATCGATACCAAAAAGAAGCAAATAACCGACAAACTCTCTGAGGTCGACTGCTGGGTGGAGTCCCTCAGGGAAACGGAAGCATGCATAGTTCAAGCACAGTCCGTGCGAGAACTGGCTAACGCAAAATTGGCGGCGAAGGACTGCGTATCCAACGTTGAAAGTTGCATCACGAAAGAACAAGAAAGACATTGTCAGCTTCAACTTATTTTGCCTCAGATTGGAAAACAAGTAAGTGTTTTATATTTATTTATCTTGATGTAATACCCATGTGATCCAAGATCATGATAATTATAACTGGAGATACTACATGTAAATTTTATTTAGTTACTTTCTTATTCATGTTAAGAACTGTATACATTATTTATGTATGAGTATGTGACGAAAGAGAGGCCCGGGGACGGGCACAGAGAGACATACAAGAGAAAAGTATAAAGTGAAAGGAGAGTAAAACAAAGTTTTTTGAAAAAGGGAATTATACACACACTCACACACACACACGCACGCACGCACCCATGCACGCGCACGCGCACGCACACGCACGCACACACGCACACACGCACGCACACACACACACACACACACACACACACACACACACACACACACACACACACACACACACACACACACACACACACACATGGAAACACATTATATATATGTAAATATATGTATATGTATGTATGTATATATATATGTATATGCATGTACACATATGTGTCTGTGTTTTTGTTTATATATATATATATATATATATATATATATATGTATATATATATATATATATATATATATATATATATATATATATATATATATATATATATATACATATACATAAATTTGCACGTACACACAAACACACACACGCGTGTGTGTGTGTATTTATGTGTATGTCTATGTGTAACAAACATAGCAAACACACACTCATTTATATACATGTATGCATCTAAATGCAGCGTAAACATTTGACAATGCAATTAAATTTTAATACTTTGCGTAAATATGTCATGCTATCCAAATTCAGGACCTGACTGGAGTACTACAAATGGCGAAGTCCATGTACGTGATGCATGAAGAGGGTGGGCGCCAGCGGTGGGCGAGAGTGAGCGTACATGACTGTCTTCTGCACCTTCACGCCCTCGCAGATAATCCACCTCCTTCGAACTCCATCACCTTTTCAGTAAGTTCTTTTTAAAGTCAGCTAGGTTTAGGATGATGTGATTTCCTGAAGAAGAATTTGTATAACAGTGATAATTGTTTATGTACACTCACACATATGTAAATACACACACATTTGCGAGTATATGAGGTTAAATAAGGATACGAAACGGGAGAAAAGGCTATAAGAATGAAAACTGACTTTTAACACACCCAACACCTGTTTACATTATTCCTTTTACCCCGCAGTATTCCAGTGTGCGTTCGCTGGTGCCGACAGAAGCAACAACCGCCTTCCTCGACCTGGGCTGGCAGGGGCAGACGCAAGGCCGCGTCTACGTGCGTATGTTCGGCGACACCCGACGCGGCCAGCAGTTCCTCCTGCTGTGCTCCGGGGAGAAGGGCCCTTGCTACAGACTCACAAGGTTCTTCGACGCAGACCGGATCGGCGAGCGCGGAGAGATCATCCGAGGCGGGGACTACGAGCACAACGACGGCACGGGCGGCGCGGCCATCATGGACGGGCTGCTGAGCGGGGGCGTGTACCACCGGGAGGCTGTGGCGGGGCTGGTGGTGGGCGCTCATGCCAGCCAGGCGGAGCGACTAGGCGTTTTCGGCATCATCCTGACCGAATGGCCGGGGAACAAAACAGACACGGGCTTCGGTCTTGTCACCAGTGGCCTCGGGACCTTGAAGTCCGCCGCGAGACACAAGCCAGTCACCGACGTCACCATAGAGAACTGCGGCTTAGTGATACCCATTTGATGTTTCACCGGCAATTTTGCTCATGCTTATTGTCTCATGCTTTATATATACATGCATATATATAAATGAATATATATATATATATATATATATATATATATATATATATATATATATGTATGTAT